TAACATATTCCATTTCCAATTATATAAAAACAGAAAAGCAACAAATCCTCACAGTTAAGAGGTTAGAACCAGAAAATGTAAAGCATTTATTTTAAAATTGACTTATTAATTAATAAAATATTGATTTTATTGTTTCAGCACTAATTGATGGGGACTTTTTTTACTTTTAAATTTAAGTTAAATTCCAAATGTCTAAATAAGTAACTGTGTAACTTTAGACACAAAACGCAACAAGTTGCCAAACAAAGGTAGCAAAAATTTGTTAGTATAAAGCAGGTGAGATGCATATGCCAGGATTTTGAGGCTTGAACCAGCCTCCAAGAGGAAGTGAAGCCTTCCAGTCATTACATTTCAATAAGAATGAACTGACCCTGCTGCTCACAATGCCCTAACTACAAGAAAGACACAAGGGTACAGAAATGGAACCATATACAGTATTTACCCAGGCAGTGTTAAATTCACAAAACTATGGACAAAACATGGTTAGTGTTAATGTTCATTATTGAAGTGCACATGGCAACAAATTAGTATTATAGTTCTGAGTCTTAAGTCATCTCAGCTTCACTGGAACTTACTTTTGGTTTCATGGGGGGGAGCGCCAGGGTTTTGGAAGGAGGAGGCAGCAAGCTGGAGGATGGGTGCAGAACCAGGGTGATTGTCTGATGACAAGAGGGCAGGGGGATGGAGTGGAGGGTGGGAGAGAGTGAGAAAGAAGCGATTTAATGGATAGCTCACTCAAATTACAACATTGCCTGAATGAATGAACACAAAACATCAATCCAACCAGGCATGCTTGCAAGTTGGGTAAACCTTCCCATCAGGAGTTGGGTAAAGTAAATGTGTGGCTGGTGGCACAAATAATCACATACAGCAAAGCATAACACATAAGGAAAAGGCAAGTGGGTAAAAAAACAAAAGAAATGCACAGGAGGTGAGATGTGGGTTATATCCACAAGAGGGCAATGAAGGACCATACAGTGACAATAAGGCACAAGAACAGCTGGTGTGCTTTGAACATGAATGATTCATTATTTCATGAGGTAATTACAGATACATTTTTAATTCTCTTCAAACATATATCACCCTGCATGTAGTATGAACAGCTGTCTGTCGACAAAACTGTATGTGGAAGAAAAAACCAATGACTCTCACTGATAAATTAAGGTCTATGTACGGCTTATGGATTAATCTGCATGGGATGCTATGACATGAAAACTGCGAAACAAATGTTTAGTTTGTAAAACTCATCGAGCCATTCATTATGTAAATTGAAAACTTTGAAAAGGTCAGGGAAAAATCTTGTGATAATACACTGAACAAAATTATAAACACTTTTGTTTTTGCCCCCATTCATCATGAGCTGAACTCAAAGATCTAAGACTTTCTCTATGTACACAAAAGGCCTATTTCTCTCAAATATCATCCACGACCATCACCTCATGTTGCCAGCATGATAATGCACGGCCCACGTTGCAAGGATCTGTAACACAATTCCTCGAAGCTAAAACACCCGCAGTTCTTGCATGGCCAGCATACTGACCGGACATGTCACCCATTGAGCAGTTTGGATGCTCTGGATCAGCGTTATACGACAGCCGTTCCAGGTCCTGCCAATATCCAGCAACTCGCCTCAGCCATTGAAAGAGGAGTCGATCAACATTCCACCAGGCCACAATCAACAAACCTGATCAACTCTAACGCGAAAGGATATGTGTTGCACTGCGTGAGGCCAATGGTGGTCACACAATACTGACTGGTTCCGAACCCCCAATACATGAAACTGCACGATTTTAAAGTGCCTTTTATGTGCCAGCCTAAAGGCCCACACCTGCTGAATCCCATCCTGCTGATCAGCCATCTTGATATGCCAACACCTGTGGAGGTGCGATGCGGATTATCTCGGCAAAGAGGAAGTGCTCACTAAAGAATTTTACAGATTTCGCGAAGAATATATGAGAGAAATTGGCCTTTTGTCTACATAGGAGAAGTCTTAGATCTTTGAGTCGCCTCATGATGAATGGGGGCAAAACAAGGAAGTACAAGGAAGATGGATACTGAAGTTACTGGACACTAAATTGTGTGAGTGCATTATGATTATAGGCAGTGAAGTGTCTTAACTCACCATTATTTACATAAAGCAGCTAATTATTCTCTTTGTAATTTTTTGGGGCATTTCACTTTATTAGACAGGATAGGAGAGAGATGGGAAAGGCAGGGGCGAGAGAGAGGATGACATGCAGCAAAGGGCCTTCCGCTTTGGTAAGGACTTTGACACGAGGTTATTGCTCTTCTACCCGGTGAGCTACCGGGATACCCCTGTAAATTAATTTTCACAGTGTTGCTGTATGAAGTAGGCTCATAACAATTTTTCAGTTCAGTAGCCGTTGTCTGGTGACCTCTGGACACTCAAGGAGGTTACTGCCCCTTGCCAAGAAATAGGAACCTTTTAAGTAGTGAATTTTAGAGGTGCTGGTAGGTAGATTTTGTTCCCATAGAACATAACCAGTATAGCTGCTTCCCCTGTTTCCAGTCTTTATGCTATGCTAACCAGCTGCTGGCTGGATATAAGAGTGGTGTCAGCCCTCTCAACTAACTCTTGGCAAGAAAGCAAATACACATATTTCCCAAAATGTTTCCTTTAAATATCAATATACAGCCAGCCAGGAGACAGAAAGCTTAGCTTTTCAGACTGTAAACAAGGGGGAAAGTACAAGGTGTATTATGATCAGCTACATGAAAAGTTTAAATGGACTATTAGATAAGAGAAGGCAAAAAGCCTTCTGACTAATACAGAAATATTTGTCAAAACTTCACATCTCATATGAAATCTAGGGCTGCCGTGGTAGCCATGGTGATGCTTTTATCTTGGCATCTCTGAATCTCATTTCATGGCCTTATTAATTACACTTTAATTAAAAGGCCAAATCCACATGATAAACAGAAATTGCTCAGTGCAATGTTTATAATGCAACGCTAGATTATTTCCACTTTCCACTAATACGGTACAGACTTACGCATAATTACAAAGGGTGCCAGCCAAAAGAACAACAGCTGGGTGAGTAATTATACTGCCACCAAACAGCAACATCATCAACAACAACTAACAACTAACAACAACAACAACAACAACAACTAACAAAGACCTCTACTGGAGAAAACGTTCTGGATCTGAGATCACTTACTGTATAACCCGCTGTCACACTGCTAAGAGTCAAAGTGTCAAAAATGAGAACACAGTTCTGAGGGGGGCATAAGGTATAATGTATAGACTAAACTTTGTTACTGTACGTCTGTGTTTCCCACCATGTTCTATATTTACGTCAATTTAGAGTAGATCAGTTTTTGCCAGTTCCAATATAAAAGACTGCTTGTACTACTGACCAGCTGGCCTGACGCAAAGCACACGGAGAGCACATTTACACATTGCTCAGACAGTAATGGGTCACAAGGGCTGCAGTGACAAAAAGGAGGAGAACATCACTGCAGGAACACTGTTCTTCATTGCAATCCTATGATACTAGTTAAGTTAATTAGGTCATTCACAGTCGATTATTACATTTGGAAAAGCATGCACATTTGCAGATGCCAGTGTGAGAGGAGAAAAAAAAAAAAAAACTATGGCAAACAATCAGACTGAATGTACTTGAACAATTCTAGGTGCCATTTTGAAAGTGCGATTCCCTCCACAAAAATGTTTCAGATGTTTTTAAAATGAAACATGAACTGATGTTGCATCCAGTTACTGACTGCCTTTGGGTTAAGTAAAATGTCTTACTGGTGACAGGAGCTGCGTTGTTTGGAGTGTCAGCCCTCAGGTACTGTGTGGTCTGGGTGGACGGCTGAGACAGGCCCTGCGAGCTTCCGCTGTCACTCACACTGAAAGACACCAAGAGGGAGAACACAGAGTAGTTATCCAGAGGCACCCGGATTGGGTTACACCGGCAATTGGTAAATCCATTACTCGGTTTGCGTGTAAAGTCCTTGCTAAGTCCTTGCTAAGTTCTTAACAGTAACTATAGCTAGTTTCAAACTAGTGTTTGATATCTTAGCTAGTGAAGATCTTGGAAATGTGTAAATCTAGCCAGGAAATGTCTGCAACATTGTCCACTCAAAAGCAATCATCTATGTAAACAGTAAGTCACTGTACCATCATTAGCTGCATTATCACAGTTTTCAGAGGCCAGACGATGTGCAGGGTTAAACTTAACCTGCTGACAATTCTTTGTACATGTAGGTATGACTTTGTGGTATAAACATTTGTTTGTTACAGAACTGGAAGTATTCATGTACCATGTTTTGTAGGGTCATAAGGAAATATCCAATTACTCCAGTTCCCTTTGTAATTTGGGTAATTATTATTGAAAATAATTGTGCAATTGTGCTTAGTTAAGCAATTATCATCATAGTTGCAGATTAATTCTCTGTCAATTGACTTACCTATTAATTAATTAATTTGTTTAGCTCTAAAAAAAAGTACCTTGACCTAATGTTCATGCTAATCGGAAACCTGAGTGATTTTACAAATGTAGGGTCTAAAGTTGAAAAAATATTCTTGTACAACACAAGGATCCCATCATGCAATGTGATCAAATCAAACCAATTTGGCGAAACAACATTACTGCAACTAAATCTAATGAAAATATCACATTAGACAGATTTCAATGTCCTGTAAGAACCAATCTTTGTACAGTTTAAATTTACCACTGTCCTGATGGTTAACCTCTCCAAATCAATGGCAAGATCTCATTTCACATCAATATCTGATAACCTACGTAGCTGCCTACAGCCATCTGGAGTGGAGATTACAGGAACTGAACAGGAAAGCTAAAGTGCAGGTTTCAACTTGATGTCATCCTCTCTGTGGAGATGACCTATTTTTGTTGGTCTTTGAACAGCAGCATTTGGCAGGAAATACTAACATAACTTTAACAGGTGAAAGACACAAGGTTTTCATTAGTGTCAATATAACAAGTGTACTTTGCTTAGCTGATATATAACAATAACAAACCTGTCCTCCATCTCCACTCTCTTCATGCTGTGCAGGTGCAGGATGGCCAGGATGATGGCCACGAGAAAGATGACAATGCAGCAGACACTCACACTTATATAGAAAACTTGGGTTGAGGTGGTGGGGGTGGTCACACCATCTACTGATGAAAACAAGCAACATATTATCAAGACAAAGCAAAGCAGAAACTCTAGGAAAGTGTGGCATTATTGCACAAAAAAACAACCTCATTACAGAAAGCTTCAACAGCCTTCGCTATTATGCAAGAATCTGAGCAAAAATATGAGGTAAGGCAATGAGAGAAAGACATGAGTGAGAGAGAGAGGATCTATAAGTTCACCGAGGGCTCCACTTAGTGTTAATGGCCAGGAATAGTAGAGGCATTGCCCAGGATCCAGTGTCTGAGAGCTTTTCTCATCACCTCTCTAAAAGCCTCTGAGGGCCCCAGGTTCCTCAGGCCTACCCAAGCAGAAGGAAGACAACCCACTAATGGTACTTTGTTAGTGGGGCAGTGGGCTCACAAAGAGTCTGAATAAACCCCACTGGAAGAGGACAACCACTCCAAAGGGTGGGGGCTGACAGAGTGCACTTCAATAGGAGAATGAGTGCTTCTCTTTGGGCTCTGAAATCATACGCTGTGGTTATGGAAAATTTGACTAATGTGCTTTTTCTTTACTGAGAGACTTCTCAGTACTGATCCAGCCTCTGTCTTATCAAGCTGATACCACCTATGAAAGACAATGCATGGAGCTAATAGACAGGGATAAGTTCAGCAGGATTGGGAGGTAAGATCACTTACTGTCAGGCCGTGGAAGAGTGTTATTGTTGAGGGGAATGGGAATCTTTGGGTCAGTATCTATTCCTGTTGACAGAGGAAGGAGGAAACAGAATTTTATCAACTCTAACTCCTACTGCTGAAAGGAAATAAAACAAAGCTTATGTATTTAATTGAACTAAAAATGCCTTTGACAAAGGTCAAAGTAAGTTTTCATTATCAGTAATTTCTGAACACAGACTCAGGAAATAATCTGATGAAAACCAAAGCAAATGGACAGATGCCACATTAAAAAGCAAGTTTTAATCAAATCATTTGTGTGTGACAACAACACTGTAAATGTGTTTGCAGGATCAAGTCAAATTGTTCTATGCAATTTTAAGATGTGTCTGTGACATTTTCCTCAATGTTAAAAGAAAAAGTGCAGAAGCCGTAAAGGAAATTAAAACCACCAGAAAGACTTAATGTAATGTAAAAAATATAAAGTAACAGAGGGTATTGGGTATTTGTTTCTGCTTCTTTAGAAAGCAAAAGCAATGATAGAAGTTTCAAGTATATCTCCCTCTCATTAGTAAAGCCATACCATATAATAGATGAAGGCTCAATTACATACACAACTTCTCTAGTATTCCGTAGTCCTCGTGTTGAGAAGCAGTACAAACAAAATATAAAAAAGTGCAAGATGAAAAGCACTAGTGAGGCTTGTGTTATGCTAATCAACAACAGCCAGTATTCTTCACTCTGATAGCTCCTATTTGAAAGGAAAGGACTCTTTGTTAGAGGCCCAGGGACAAAAACCTGAAATAGGTTTTTTAGGTTAAGCTCCTGAAGTTCCTAAAAAGGCTTCTGGGTTCCTTGAAAAGTTCCAGTAGCTAAAAATGACTATACGTCATTAGGCTCAGGGTGCGATTATAAAACAGCAAGCATACATTGTTTGTCCTACAGGCACAAAACTAGAAAAAAAAAAGTTGACAGGTATGATTGGTCAGTGTACATTTCGAGCACCACTCAGGCATACAAAGAATCTCTTGTGGCTGCTAATTTGACTCATGCTCAAAATAAGATGGGAATAAATTTGTTTCCATGGGGCGTATGGCAAGAAGCCTCTTGGCCACATGTAATTATCTTCAGGCAGTTTGAAAATAGCACAGAACTGAATACAAAAACCTGTACATCTCCCACTAACTGCTTAGGCTACGTTCATGCTGCAAGCCATAGCGCTCAATTCTGATTTATTGCTCAGATATGTTTTTTTTGTTCACATTATTTGTTAAATGTGACCCATATCAGACTCCATGGTGAACAAGTCATGGTTCGGCATGTCAGTCTAGTGACATAACAGTCACATGAATTCTGGTATGACTAAAGTAACATTTAAAAAAAAAAAAA